CTACAACAAAACAGAGCATGAACAATAAAGCCTGGCGTGTGCTTTCGAAGACAGCAAGCATGCAAATTCATAGTATTTCCTTCTAAAGCGAAGGCGTGATGCCAGGGTCTAGGAAAAGTGTTAAAATGATAGCACCAACCTGCACAAAGTCTGTTAAAGCAAGGTTTAAAAACAACAGAACTATTCCACACAGTATGATGGCTACAAGGCAGAGTTTAGCATTTAAATAGCAGCTCCTGGTAGGAAGAAGTGAGTATCTTGATAAAAGGCCTGCCGAAGAAACAAACAAATCGTCACGTCTAAAATCTGCATTACAGAGCTCATTAAGGGCTGGCACAGTGCAGTGAGCTGGAGAGGAAAGAGGAGAAAACCATGTGTGTCTTACTGATGGAACCTGCGAATGTCACACCTCCGCAAGCACAGAAAATGAGAGAGAGACAGTGAGGAAGAGAGAAAGAGAGATACTGTTCCCATACGTTTCACTGTAACTGCAAAAGCAACGCATGATGTCGTATCTAAACCTAATCGATAGTTTAAAGCAAATAATAGATGTCATTAACCTCCTTTTAAGAAGATTCAGTCAATTAACAGCTAAGACAAGTTTACTAGACAAGTAATGGAAAAGAGGTCAGCTCTCAGAAAATTATTTGCCGCCTCTTAGCCTTTTTCAGCATTGTTAAATAACTGCCATTCAGGTTAACCGTCCCCTGTATTCAATCTTTGCTTGTCTCGACAAGACTAATTTAATAATGCAGCCACTTGTGAAAGGTTATTCTAATGGATAAATGTAGGAGGTAATGAAAGATCCACCTTTAGAAACAGGGCTTGTGGCTTGTCTTTTCTCATCTTTATTAGGTCTGACAAGGTCGTTGTGCTGCTTTGTGTATTGGAAACAAGTAGACCACTTTTTTTTCAGCTTACAAGCAGAACATGGAACCAGGCCAGAGGGAATTCTGGTAATTGTGTTGCAACCGCAACATTGACCAGAAATGATCAAAATAATTGCTTATCAACAGCTTTCCTAGAACCGAAAAATTACAGAGCGCATATCTAGTAAATCACAAATTCCCAATGGTTCAGGAACAGGTCACGAAGCCAAAATGACATTCAAATTAATGTGAAGTCAATCACATAGAACTTCAGGATCTTTTTGGAGGTCGGCCATTAATCTTCATTCAACACTTCAAATGACTTATTTTTCATATTTAATGACTCTGAGCACCCATTAAGGCCTGAATCAAATGGAAAGAAAGATTATCTATCTGTCTCCGAGGATCTGACAGATTGCATGCTTGCGAGAGGCGATGTCCCGGGCGATGCTACTGTATGCTGGCGGGCCAAATTTTTATAGTGTGTTCTCTAGGGAAGAAAGAACAGTAATTACTATACCTTAATAACTCCTCATCAAACACAACTACAACTACTAAAGCTTTAATGATCCATGATGGCTCTGTAAGGGCAGTAACCGAAGTGCTTAGTCACTCACTAGACAGGGAGAGACAGCACACATATACACTGTTTATCTCTACCTCTTTTTTCCTCTCTCTCTCTCTCTCTCGTCAGGATCAGAACAGAAGATGACCACACTGCCTGTTCTTAAAAAAATACAAATAAAACTTTGGGTAAGCCAGATTTCATAAGCAAACCTGCAAAAGAACGAATGTTTCAAGACAAGTCAAAGGACACTTATAATGATATGATATAAATACAATGATTGATATTCTCTAAGGACAATCACACAGTCATCGTATGAACTACGTGAGACAAAGAGTATCACAACAGTGTCTTTATGCTCGCTTTGCATTCATTTACTGCACTGAACACTAAGAATTTTTATTTGGTTCACGCGAAACTCGCATGCACCGTAAATCAGTCAGAGCATCGGAAATCATTCAATTAACGTTACGCTGAAAACACTGGGCGTGCAATACGATAATAAATCTATCGGAGGATTTGGAGTCAGTGTAGAAAATTTTAAATATTATGTGCTTTTTTCTTTCGTGGAAAACAAAAGGAGGCGTGCGGCGGAATAACAGCCTCCAGTTAACGTTACCGTTTATTTATTTGTATGGAAAACAGGTGCAATGAAAGTGAACGGTGACCGAGACATTTCTATTTAGGTTTGGAACAACATTAGATTATTTTTGAGTTAAGTATCCCTTTTGGTCACCTTTTTGATATTACAAAATAATAATAATAATAATAATAATAATTATAAGGTTTCTTCAAACCAATGTGCGTAAAAGAAAAAAAACGAAACAGTCACTTTTTGTCATCCGTAAAAATGAACGAAAACAAAAATATACTGTCCAAATAAAACAAATAACGTCAAAAACAAATTCTTCACAGCAAATTGTATGAAACTGCTATCAGAAGTTGGACTAAAGCGTAAAAGCTTAATATGACATGAATACATTTAGTAAATAAAAACGTTATTTTCTTTAACTTCACCTCAGTTTTCCGTTCTAGTTAAATGAAACAACGACAAACACACGAACTGTCATTTACCTCAGATATGAGACCGTTGACCCCTCCTCAAGCACGAACCGAGCTGTCATTTCGCTTTCCACAGCCTCGGAATCCGGTAACGGGCTTACATTTCAGACTAACTACAGCTCCGAAATGAACTCCGTTCTCGACGGAAATTTAAAAGACATCCGCCGAGGAACCGTTACGGAGTATTCCCGCCGTTCCGCGAGACCCCCGTGAACTCAACTCGGCGTCACGCGACGAGAGCGCGCAGATCGATGAAACTTTCAACAGCGCGCGCGTCTTCCTGTAGTCCTTTATTTTAATTATTTTTTAATCTTGCGTCTGCCAGTCTACATGGTATACTTCAAATCTAACTGTTTGTAAATTAAATTAAAATCTCTGTGGTGTCACGTGCCATCGGTAGCGTCTTCTTTATTGTTCTATAGACATAACGGGCTCCGTAATACATCCGTACACAAATCCCCGATAATCACAAATGGCCTACAATTCCCAGGAAGTACGTCATGGCATGAGCCTATTTGGGGTCTGCGATTCGCGGGCTCCATCTGCAGGATTCAGACCAGACACACTGTTCATAATTAAAATTTTACCTAATCACAGACCTCTTTTAAATGCAGTACCAGTAGTAAATGCATATCTTGCAATCTTAAAGAAACAGTTTACCCAGAAATCGATATTCTGACTAATGTTGCAGGACTGTTAACGTTAGGAGCTGTTCATTTTCATCACATATGCAAACACTAAAAGTGATTGGTGACTATATAAACAAGGATCAATAAATGATGACAGAATTTCCATTGCTGTGAATGAATCAGATTACAGTTGGATCCTTGTCAGTGTGGAGAGCCAAATGTAAGCAGCATAATGTTTGCTTTGAAAGTCATATATTAGATTTACAGTTTTGTCAATGTTTTTACTCCGGCAGCAGCAGCATGCAGGTCATGAAAGAAAACAGAATTTCTTTCAAGGATTCATCTTCACTGAACCCAGCTCCTGCTAAGCTGATTTTGTTTGTCCTTCCATGGTTTATGTATTTTTATTGCCAAAGTATCGCAAAAAAAGAAAAAGAAAAGTAAAATAGAATAAAATAAATAAATAAATAAAAATAATAATTAAAAAAAATGTAATAAAAAATAAATTTCAATAAAAAATAAAGGCAGCACAGGTGTACGTCTTAAGCCTGCAGCTCCAACAAAAAACAATGAATGCTTTATTTACATCACACTTTCATTCTTGTTTAGGATTGAAAGGAAGGATTTAAGGAGGAATGCATTATTTAAATGATAAATTATTTATACACCATGGTGGTATTTGTTTTATTGCCTTTCAGTTATGCTGCTTGCAATAGAAATAGTTAGTAATATAAATATTATAATGAGAATCACCATAAGAAAATGCATTGACTTAACTAACAATGAGCAATACATTTGTTGCAACATTTATTAATCTTTGTTGACGTTCATTAATTAAAATACAACTGATATTTGTTTGCTCATGTACAAATAATGTAAACAGACATAACTTTTATTACTGTATTCAATAATGTTTTTGTAAATGTTGAAATTAACATTAACTGAGATGAATAAATGCTTTAGAAGTATTTTTATTATTGTTAATTAATGTTGACTAATGTTCAGTAGTTAACTAATGTTAATAACTTGAACCTTAATGTAATGTAATTAAACATCAGACACACTAAAGTCATGAAAAAAACTTATATATATATATATATACACACACACACACACACACACACACACACACACACACACACACATACATATACAATATCTGGAGAACTTGTGCTACATGTAGAACACATATGTACGTGGTTTAATTAAAATGGAAATACCTCAAAATTCTCTTTGATTCTCTTAGGGTTTACAGATTTGGGAATGACCACAACATTCCTCTGCATGTGGAAGCGGATTAGAACCTGGAAGGAAAGTTCAATACTTAGCATGTCACATAATGGAGGAAGGCGTGTGTAATGCAAACTAGCAAATATTACAAGGGTCATCTCGCATTCAGCTGACAGGTAAAGCATTGTGCTTCAAAGTTGGTGGATACATAACATGGACTTAGCATATCATAACTAATAAAAAACGCAAGTTTATACCTACCTGTGCTGTGGTTTTACTGTGCTTATCTGCAATGGCTTTGATCTTTGGGTCCTCCAGCAGTGATGGCTCACCTGCCTGTGCCCTAAAGAAAGTCAAATCTATATGAAATAATGTATAGCCATCTCTCTATATATGTATATATATATATATATATATATGTTAATTTGTTTGTTATCAAATAACATTCACAAATGTTAGTCTGCCTTAATAAGTAGAAGTAAATAAGTAAATAAATATATTGCAATGCTTCAAACATATTAGTGTAAACACTAGATGACGCGCCTATGCAACAAATGAGTCTCTTGCCTCAACGTTCCTCTTTCAGCGCATGCGCAGCGCCGTTCTTTATTGTCACGGTCCAAATTTATCCCGGAATAAGGGCAGCACGCATGTGCAGTGAACCCGGATGTATCAGGACTTGTTTGAATAAAGAACAAAAGCATCGGGATGAAAATGCATGATCGAGAGACTATTATTAGAAAGTAAAGGAATCTGGTTCCGGTACGGATAAAGTACCCGCGCTCGTTTTAGATGATTGATTACAGTTACTCACTCGTTGGAGTTTTAATATTTTAATGCATTTGCTTTTAGTCATATAAACGCGGTACCAGACCAATGCGTGAACATACTTGCAGCAGTCTATAAATATAACACTGTAGCTTTATTTGTAGTGCTGCAATGCATTTGATTCACGTCTACGGTAAAAAGTATGAACGTGGCAGCAACTGGTCCGAACCAGAGGTGCTGGAGCTGCTGCAGATCTGGTCGGACGTGCCGGTCCAAACCGAGCTAGTGACCTGCCTCAGAAACCAGCATGTGTTCAACCGAATCGCCAGCACTCTGCGGCAGAAGGGCATCAATCGGACCGGGGATCAATGCAGGGAGAAGATCAAAAAGTTGAAGCTGGAGTACAAGCAGAAGACTTTGAGATCCGCGAGGTATTACGAGCTGATGGAAAGGGCGCAGAGCAACCGATCCGCCGCAACCTCCGGTTCGACTTTGCCTTTATGGGGCGGTACGGTGACGAACCAGGCAACCGGACTGCAGGGGTCAGAGGCGCCGGGTCACCCGCCCAGAGTAGGTGAAATGTTGGAGATCAAGACGGAGGTGATGAGCTCCGATGATGAAGCGGCGGGCCCGCCTGAGATGATCTATGAGTTCGGACCTGTTGATGAGGATGATGAAGGCGCTGCTGAACACAAACATGCGGGTCCAAACACAGAGGAGAACACTGAGATGGACGGAGAGCAGGGAAACACACATGTCATCTGTTCCCCATCAGGTATCCTAAACGGTCTGTTGATGGATGGATGGATGGATGAACAGATAGACAGATATGGATGTGTAAATAAATACAGATACATACTTCAGTGATTACAGTGCAACAGAAAGCAAACATCATCTGAATGATGTACTACACAATATTAAACACAGATGTTCCACTATACAGACATTTGTTGCATAGATAGATAGATAGATAGATAGATAGATCAACGTTTATATATGCATATTTCTCAATAATTGAGATTTTTGGGAGGCAAGTAGTTCAGATTTTTCCTCACCCTGTCAGCATTTTCACTGGTCCCACCACAATTTTATTAAAATTAATTTTCAACATATTTTGTATGTGCCAGAACAATAATAATTTTTGTCCTTTACGTTTTCTTTATATGAACTGAAACAGACTATTTTTAATTTGCAATAACACATGGAATTTATACAGCTATTCACTACAGCTATAAATTCATAAACAATTTTTTTCTTCTTTTTTTTTTGGAAAATAATGGCATGCAATGTAATATTATACAATACAAATTGATTAGAAATATTCAACTCATTCTAACTAATTATTATCACAGGTTATTCTTGCAATTTTGACAATTACTAATTTGACAAAATTCATTATCTGTGTTAGCCAAGTAGAAAATGTTACCTTGGTCACATATTTAAATCAGCATAATATCAATAACGGTATACAATTTAAAAGCATAAAAATAAATGTTTATGTTTGAATGATATAAAAAACATCTGCCTTGACTTCAGTAAACTACAAAGAAACAGTAACAAAACACCATCTGCTTAACACAGTACACAATTGTTCAAAAGTTTGGGGTTGGTAAGATTTAAAAAAAAAAAAAAAAAAGACTTTTTGAAAGATGTATTATTTATTTATTTATTGTTTGCTCAGCAAGGATGCATTTATTTGATCAAAAATACAGTAAAATCAGTAATATTATGAAATACCATTACAATTTATAATAACTATTTCTATTTTAATGTACATTTGAAAATGTAATTTATTCCTGTGATGGAAAACATAATTTTCACCATCATTACTCCAGTCTTGAGTGTCACATGATCCTTCAGAAATCATTCTAATATCCTGATTTGATGCTCAAGACACAATGTTGAAAACATCTGCTTAATTTATTTGTGGAAACCATGATACATTTTGTTCAGAATATTACAAAATTCAAAAGTACAGCATTTATTTGAAATAGAAGATTTCTGCAACATAATTTTTTTTACTGTCACTATTTATCAGTTTAATGCATCCTTGCGGAATAAAAGTATTAATTTCCTTAAAAAAAAAATATATATATATATATTTATACATTTATGCATTTGGCTGGCATGTTTATTATTTATTTTTTGTGCATTTCATTAGTATGTGCATGAAACTGTTTCATTGCAACAATGTGCAAAAAAAAAGCATTGCATGGATGTAACATCAAGAAAAAGTTGAACTACTGTATGAGCCTGACCTACCAGTTTTAGCTGATATTATCCATATTTATTTAGAGGGTCTGTGCAGTTTAACGGTGTACAGGCATTATTGCAGTATTTATGCCAAACCCTTTGTTGTGTCTCTGCTGTTGGCAGTGATTTGCCATCCAGTGCCTTACTTTTAGCACCGCAGATGTTCTTTACAGTACTGCCATGTTATCACACCAACTGTTGCTTTAATAAAATTGAGATAATTGTTTAGTTAAGTTTTTATTTGGTCTTTTTTCTCTGATTGACTGATTTAATGTTTCATTTTTGATGATATCACACCACAGATTGCAGTGACCAGAACATGACTGGCTCCTCCGGTGCGGGAGTATCCCCGGCAACAGCTCCCATGGCAATGAGAGAAGGAGGTAGCCATGGCGACCAAGAAGGGGGTTCCGGATCATTCCATCAGAGGAAGCGTCGCCGAGTGGGACGTGGGGGCGAAGGGGTGTTATCGAATGCTCTGGCTGGGTATCTAAGCTGGCAGCAGACAGCAGAAGAGCGTTTCTTGGCTCTGGAGGAGGCCCGGATGCAGCAGGAGGCACGGGCTGAGGAGCGGAGGGAGCAGCAGGAGGAGAGACGAGCAAAGCAAGAGAGAGATCATGAGTTTCGTCTCATGTCCATGTTGACCAGAGTCCTGAGTTCATCACGTGGGACAGAAGACCAGAGTGCCTCTACCAGCAGGGAAACGTTCCCATTGCCCTGCACATCACAAACCTTGTTCCCCTGTTTGTTACCCAACAGTGCCAAAACTGTACCCAGCATGCGTTGGGGTGATCAGACGGCCCAGTACAGCCCGTACCTGTCTCGCCGTGGCAACAGCATGCGGCTGCACCAGGGAATCCTGCAGGAAGGCTACAACCAGTATCACGCCAACAAGCACGACGAGAATTCAAACCCACATGTTAGTCTCCCTGGAAGCTGTACTGTTTTATTATTATCGATTACAATTTTCTGCATGAAACGTATTGTACTATGATCTGGATTTGGAAAAATAAATTAAACATTTTATACCTATATAAGATTTATTTATTTTTTGGTAAGAAATTTAGACCTTTATTCAGAAAGGATGCATAAAACTGATCAAAAGTGGCAGGAAAGACATTTATAACTATATAAAAGATTTCTATTTTAAGTAAATACTGCTCTTTTGGACGTGCATCAAAGAATCATGAATAAATATATATTACAGTTTTCACAAAAATATTAGGAAACGGCTGTTTCTTGAGCAGCTAATCAGCAGATTAGAATGATTTCTGGAGGATCATGTGACACTGAAGACTGGAGTAATGATGCTGAAAAATCAGCTTTGCATCACCGGAATAAGTGACATTTTAAAATAAAATAGAAAATAGTTATTTAAAATTGTAATCATATTTTTCAAAATATTGCTGTTTTTACAGTATTCTTGAGCAAATAAATGCAACCTTGGTGAGCAAAAAAAAAAAAAAAAAACCTTACTGACCCCAAACTTTTGAACTGTAATATGGGTATATAAAAGTATAAAATGTATCATTTATTTTTCAAAGTCCAGAAAAAAATGTATTCTACCTGTTTTATGCAGAAATGAACAAATGACTGATTAGAAAAAAAATACTGCACAGTGCAGAACCACATTTTACTGCACAGTTCAAAACCACATGATAGTAAATAACAGTCATGTATAAGAAGTGGTGGAAGGGGGTTAAAATAAAAACCTAGTTTAAATTAAATTGTGAAAATATTGCATTTTCAAGTAAAGGGTACACTCCCTGTGCCTAGCCTTTTTGTAAAATTTTAATCACCTCTTTTCCTTAATTAGTTCATTTTAAATCATCTTGCTGTGTGACAAATTCATGTTCATTTTTAAATCAGTTTCATCATTCATTTCTAAAGCAATATTCCAGTTTAAATCAAGATTAATATGATCTCAAAAAACTGCTTATATTAGAGAAGATTTGTTAAAATACATTACCAATCTACAGTCACTTGCTTAGTTCATTCTCTGTATGAGAGTACTCATTTGTTCTGATATTATAGACCTTGTATAAACCAAGTATTGGTTTTAAAGGCAGTGCTTTGGTTAGTGCAGAGGCCACAAGTCTCTTGGGACAGCTTCTGTTGTGTGGTAATTTGCTGTGGTTTTTAATATTTATTTCAGGGCATTATAAACTTAGGAACCAGTGAAAACAAGCTGTGCTTTGACCTCCTGCAGAAAAGGGTAAGAGATGTGATTTACTTGTTTAGCATTCATAAGCGAAGATCCTTTTTCATTAGCGGTGATTTTCGCCTGGTGAGCAATAAAAAAAAAAATTCCATTAAAATGGCATGAAGTATCACGCTATCTTGGGAGTCTTGGGGAATGTGCTCTTTTGCCCAGTGAGCAACCACCCAAAACACCCTAGCAACTGAATTAAAACAAGCTAAATGCCATTCAGAACACCTTAGCAACCGCATATCAATGTCCTAGCAACCATCTACAACACCCTATCAACACCACTCACATTGCCTTCAGAAGAATATTATAGAGTTATTACAACAAAAAGAAAATAAAAAATCTTTAAATGCGCAAAAATATAAAGAATTGTCATTGAGTCTGGATATTACATGTCATAATGTTTGTTGACCGATTCTTGGTTTCTCCAACAGCTGATGCGACCTGACATGCTTCACATTGAACCTGCTTTCTTACAATACCCCGATTGGAAAGGCCACAGTGTGTAAGCGACCATTTTTATTTCTTCTTTTAAGTCTCTTTGTTTTTCTGCAAAATCTATAATTAATTTGACTCTCATGTGTGTGTAAGCTTTCATTTCACAGTATTGATGTTCTTGGGTCTTTCTTTTCCCCAAAGCCTTCAAGAGGAAGTTGCTAAGTTCCTCTCAGACTACTGTCGTTCTCCCAAACCTCTAAAACCTGAGAATGTGAGTGTTTTTCTGCTTCTGCTACATCAGCATTATATTATTTATGGTATTATTTCTGTTAGTCTTCCTCTTTCTATTGAAAGAGAAATCCAGGCCACATGCTTATGTTCTTCGGTTCTTTCGCAGGTTGTTGTTATGAACGGTTGTGGGTCTGTGTTCTCGGCTTTGGCAGCTACGCTCTGTGACCCAGAAGGTATCAGACCATCTGGTCACCACAGAATATGTCTAGTCTCATGTCTAGTTGTGTTGGGGTTGTAATATTTATTTACATTCTCACCAAGGCTGCATTTATTTGATTAAAAATACAGTAAAAATGGTAATAGTGTGAAATATTATTACAATTTCAAAGAACTGTTTTAAATTTTCATGTATTTTAAAATGTGTCGTGTCACATGATCCTTCAGAAATCATTTAATATGCTGATTTAGTGCTCAAGGATTATTTGATTAATTGAAAGTTCAAAAGGTCGGCATTTATTTGAAATAGAAATGTTTTGTGCCATTATAAATGCCTGTGACTTTTGATCAATGTAATACATTCTCGCTAAATATAAGTATTAATTTCTTTCAAAAATAAAAAATCGTACTGACCCCAATTGTTTGAATGGTAGTGAATATTGGGGAGGCTAATAAATCAGGTATAGACCAATAGCAATATCTGCTTGCTGAAAATCAGAATGTTAGTTCTCAGTGATTATAGCCTTTTAATGAATTGAGAAAATGATACAACCAAACAGTTTTTGATGGTGGTGCATTATTACCCATAAGTGGCCATACGTCTCTGAAATGTTACTTGATATTGTGTGTGTTTTACAGATGCCATTCTTATCCCGTCGCCCTTCTATGGTGTGATTACGGAGGATGTGGGCTTGTACAGCACTGTCAAACTGCACCATGTGCCACTTTATAGTCAGGTTAGCAAAATTTGTAATATTTTATAATGTAACATTGGCATGTTATAGTGGTTTTCTGCTGTTTTATTTTTTGTTTCATGTGGCTTTACATCTTATTTTTCTATTCATATTTTATTGTGTTGGTACAGCCCACAGGAAGTGATGTCAGACCATTCCAGCTAACTGTCGAGAAATTGGAGAACTCTCTTAAAGAGGCCAAGAAAGAGGTTATTTTTTAAACTTAAACATACAGTGTACATGCTCACACTGTATGAATCTCTTAAAATTTTACTTTATTTATATAGAGATTGAACATCAAGGCCCTTATCCTGTTAAACCCCCACAATCCACTGGGAGAGGTGTACTCGTCTGAAGAGTTGATCAGCTTTCTACAGTTTGCCAAAATGTGAGTTCAAACTGTTTCTCACAAGCACTGAACCAAAGCCATTCTTTCATTCGGATTCAGATCTTTGATATGTGATATAACTTAAGCCAGTGACATTTGATCAATACAGAAATATTAAAAGCATGTTATTACAAAACTGAAAATGATCATATCGACTCGTTCCAAGCCCATATAACTTTGTTTCATGTAATGCAACAGATGTTTTTAAGAATGTTTATGCTGCTCTTTTCCCATATAATAAAAGCATATAGTGACCAGAGACAAGGAGCTACCATAAAATGATCACAAATCACATTTGAACTTCACAGCTTGGCACCCTATTTGTTGTAGGGGTAATGGCATTCAAAACTTTTTGCTTGCCTAACTTATGGGTCTGTGATCGCACTTTGTTTTCCAAATGTTTCCACATGCTTCATTAAGTTGCACGTTATAGACGAGAAATTACTTTTGTGTTCACGAATGTCATTTGAATTTCAATTTCTGCCCTCAGTGGCACTAATTTATTCATTCTTTCTCTCTCATTTGCTCCAGGCACAAGCTTCATGTGATCGTGGATGAGATTTACATGCTCTCCGTGTTCAATGAGACAGACACGTTTTGCAGTGTTCTCAGCTTGGATGGGTGAGAGACATGCACATAAACTATCTCTCTCGTAATTCTGTGCTTTTTAAATTCTAATTTACTTAGTTTTCTGCTTAATGAACTAATGTGCCCTGAGCTGAAATTGAAATGTACTTCATTACATGTCAAGGAAAATTGAATGTTGTGTTTAATGAATTCTAGTCAAACCCCTTAAAAGTGTATTTGTTGACGGAATTAAAATTTTTAGCTGAAGTATTATTTTAATCTTTATTGTAATGTCAGAAAGGGCTCTATTTGCTCGGGGTGCATGTGGATAATGCTTGTACTAATCATTACAAACTACACAAATGCTTGCACAGGTTGCCAGATCCCCAGAGAACCCATGTTATGTGGGGCGTCAGTAAGGTATGTCACTATTTAATCTGTCAGAAAAGCATTTCCTCAGATTCTTTGTATTGCTTTATTGCATTCAAACATTCTTGTGTACACATATAGGACTTTGCTATGGCAGGAATGCGACTTGGCATGGTCTACTCGGAGAATGGAGAGTTGGTTCAGGCCCTGGATCAGCTGGACTGCTTCCACGGAGTCCCAGGACCCACACAGTACCAGATGGCCCAGCTTCTCAGAGACAGAGGTACACGTTCTCTTCCTGGCTTTGTCAATGTTTTGTCTGTTTTTCACTCTATGGTTGATTCACAATTCCCATACATTCCATCCTGTCTAGTATGCAAGATTAGTGTTGGTGTGTCCCAAATCGTACTGTTAAAAGGATGGTATATTGTTTCCGGTTGGTTTTTCCATGCCTTTATGTACTTAGGGGGCGTTTACCTGACACCGTTTTCAACTAAAAATGGAAAACGTTTTATGCATTTTTGGCCATTCATTTACACGAAAATGGCGTTTGGGGGCCTGAAAACGCTAAGTTTTCAAAGTGCATGTTTTTGAAATCTATACAGTTAACGTCTCTGTGTAAAGTACAAAAATGTGAATTTGTGAAAACGGTGACATCATGCACATGCGCTTTACGTGATCAGTCTGTGGGAATACGTATATGCTCGTACGTGTTGTGTTTCTTTACGAAGTGACATCGCCAACGTCTGTCCTGGCATGCATAATTCAGCATTTTTAGTCGGTTTTGCAGATACATGTGAACGGGAATCATTTTGCGAATGTTGTTGTCTGTATGTGTAACTTTTCAAAAACACAAAGGAAAAACTTTTAGTATATTGTTGTCATGTAAACGTACCCTTTAACCTTTTGCGCTATATGCATTTATAGCATACTCCAATTTTGGTGTACTGGCTTAATTCAATATTTACTTTTACTGCACAGTGTGTTTTGTAATTGCAATAATTTGGGACTGAAGCTTTCAAGCTACCAGAATGCATCATAAAATTGGTCTATATGGCTATGTTTGAAGTTTTCTAAAGCCATACAATTGCTTTTCTAGATGAATAGACCAAGATTTAAGTCATTATTCACTGATAACCTTCCTTTCTGGTGAGGAATTGACTATTGGACCTCGAGTCACTGGGTTGAACTCAAGTACAGTAACAGTCAATTTCATGAACAAATCATTTAGACTGTTTCATTGACAAGACTGATTAGTTTACAACAGCACATGGCTGAGTGAGATTTTTTTGCGGTTTCTAGACTGGCTGAATAGTGAGTTCCTTCCGGAGAACAGACACAGGCTAAGAGAGGCTCACAGCTTCATGATAGAAGAGCTGAAGAAACTGGACATACCTTTCTTGCACAGGTCTGCGGGTTTCTTCATCTGGGCGGACTTGAGCAAGGTGAGCACCTTCAGAACAGATTTCTGCATCTAAACTCTTTCAAATCAGTCAAGTTAAGCCAGTTTCTGTATGATGTTTTGGTAGTATCTAAAGGAGAAGACGTTTGCCGAGGAGCTGTCTCTGTGGAGGTGTTTCCTCAAGCACAAGGTTCTGCTGAGCTGCGGTCAGGCCTTCAGCTGTGTGTCTCCAGGCTGGTTCAGAATCATCTTCACTGATCGACTGCACAAACTGCAGCAAGGTCTGTCGATCACTCTCATTCACATTTCAGTTCCTGTCTTCTTGTAGTGTCTCCTATGCAGTCAGGAGATGTGATTGGCATTTATTCCTTTCACATCCTTGTTTTCCAGGTGTGCAGAGGATTAAAAATGCATTAGAAGAACTTCAGGGCTCTTCAGTGCTTGAGACAAAGAGGACAACAAATGACGAACAGGATGACAGCCGTGGGACCGTGAGGAGGGAAGACACTAAGACAATGGATGAGTGCAAAGAGCAGACACACAAGACCTCAAGCGTTCAAACCAAACTTGACACAGTGTGCATTAAGACAGAGCCCGTCTCACTGACTGATGAAAACTTTACAATTCTTAATGGCCAATCTGACATGCACTCAGAGAGTCTGGACTCTTTGATTGGTACTCTGCGACAGCAGATCCACGTGTCTGATTGGCTGGAGAAGCACAAGTTGGCTGCTGGACAGGACCCAACACAATTGGATGTTTTCACAGACCTGCTCGATAAAGCCAGGAAATAGAGTAACAGTTGGTAGAAACAAGTTTGTGCAACGCAACTGTCAATACAAATACTTTTTTTAATGAATGATACTTTCACCTCATGTACAGTTTAGAGGCAAAGTCTGTAATTGCAGAAACAGCACAACGGCGATCCTTGTAATTAGAGATTGAAACAATTATGGAGAGTCACCACAGCAGTATATGAAAATGTTGTTATTGTTGGATGTTTTTACTCTTTAATTATTACCCTGGCTGTCACAGTAATTGGAGACTGCCCCTTTAATTGCACTCATATCAAATTCTAAGCATCCAACCTATTGTCTTTGAGTTGTTTTAAAGGGGTCTTATTGTGAGGAATCAATTTCTTTTAAAATTAGAATTTTGTATAATGGAAATATATTGATATATTTTAGGATTTTTGTCCTATTTTGTTCTCAAAATTTGTTTTTAAATGAGACTTTTCTGTAAAAAAAAAAAACAAAAACAAAAAAAAACCTTGAACCAAGATTAATTTACTTAAACAGCACTGTACAATGTATTTTTAATACAAGTGTATTTTATTTGATAGTGCAGCAAGTCAAAATGCTATTCAAGAATTCCAGATAGTCTCTGACAAGTCTTCATATCTTGTGAAGTGTTATTTCTCAAGTAAATTGATCTTATTTTAAGATTTTTTAGATATTTTTACTAAAAAGACTAACTAAAAACTCATTAAGAAGCATTTTTTTGCAGTTTTTCTAACTGTGTGTAGCACCTGCGACTCTGCACGTCCTTCCAAAGGATCCCAACATTAGAAACGAGAGACAGATGTTCATTTTTAACAAGATCCCTGATCATTTCAGTCAGATCTTAAAAGTTTGAGTGGCAAAAATCTGTTTCGACTTTGCAAAGAGACTTTTATTGAAGATTAACTTTGTTGACAGCCCGTGTGTACATGCAGCAAAGTTCTGATGCTCATTTTTATATTAACGTCTTAAAGGCAAAGCACCAGACAGACCTTTTAATGTTCTAGAGAGAGTGCAAATGTTTTTTTTTTTCTTTTCTGTAAATGACTGTTTATGGTGCAAAATAAAATATTACTAACATTATAAAGTATAACTCAGGGGGAGAATTATGTATTATATGACACCTCTAAATAGTTTTTAAATAATTCTAAGATTTTGTTGGGGGGAAAACTTTTTAATTGACTTGGCTATCAGTTTTGGGATAAAAGGTGATGCGTTTCTTTACTTTTTGACTTTTCTTATCTTTACAAGATGTTTTTGTTCCATAAATGCCTTTTTTTTTTAACACCATGGTTGCTTATCAGTTTTCAGCTTCCAAGGAAAATGCCTTGTTTCAGATCTTCATTGATGTTAAATGTTTTAAGGGCTCCTAACTGAAAAAAAAAAAGAATCAATCATTAATTAAAATGTTTTATGTTAAATGATATTGTCATTGTTTTATGTTACTCCTTTACAATGACCTGAGACCAGATGCCGCAGTCTCGCTTGTATTGGTGAGAGTACGGCAAAACTGATCTGAGGTCTGTGGCAGAATGTGAGCGACAGGAAATAACCATGTTCAGGGGTTTCCTGTGAGCCCACCTTGCTGGAGAAAAGAGAGTGGTTCTTTCCTGTGCTGTTTAGTCGTTGCCATGACAACACAGCAACCCTCATGATGTATCCCCACGGTTACTGTGGTTCAGCCTCTTGTGTCACTTTGCTGAAAGTAAAGTAAGTTATTATATACACACATACACACACACACACACACACCAGAGGCTGAGCCACAGTAAACGTGGCATGCATATATATGTGTATATATATATATATATATATATATAATTTTTTTGTTTTTTATGGTATCTGTTCTTCTCCAGTTCTGGACTTTTGATAAAATGCCTTTGAGCACAGTAAAGTGATTTATAAAATATAATTTTCACTTTCCGAACCACATTGACTCACTGAAACACTCACAGGGTTTCTGGGGGAATTTAACCACTCACAGTGTATGTTTATGAGGGGGGAGTTTCCATTGCGAGTGGGTCTCCACTGTGGGTAGAGGGAAATCTTTACAGTGTCATATTACAGCGTTGTGAGGGGGAAGTGAGAAAGAAGCATCTCATAATCCCATCGTCATAAAACACTCTTGTTACTGTCTTACTGATTCATTTGATATTTGAACGTGATCAGTCACCGTCACTGTACTGCGTGGAATCAAATCTTTGTCATTTGAACACATTTTAAAGACTTTAGCCATTCAAGGTAAGCAAACCTAACAATGATTACTTAATTTTCGGATGAAATTGCCAACTGTAATGCTTTAAGTTTAGTTCCAGCTAAATTCTCAACTTTTGTTTGTGTAATAGTATGCCTAATCATTCGCTTTTTCTCAACAGAGCGATGCAAGGACCAGAACTGGTTGACTCGAGGAGTCGTTTTCGATTTATTGAATCCTGTCTCGGCTTGATGGGCTCTTTGTGCATCAGCTATGCGATCTGGACCCCTCGGTGGCTGGATGACCGAGGTCTGTGGACCTCAGAGAATCAGACCAGACTGGACGACAGATGGACCACTGAAGACATTGCTAAAGGTTTGTGATGCGTGTCTGCTTTTCTCATACATCTTGGGGAATAAAAGTCATTCAAACTCTTTGATTACATATTATATTATATTTTGTTATTTTAAATTGTAATATATAATATATTAAAAAAACTGGGTCGCCTTGCTAAACAAAAAGTTAAAAGTGTTTTTTGGTCATGTTTTATCTTGGCTAGGGAAAGAAGTGAATCGTGATTGGTGGTACTAGTGCCCCCGCAAAAATACAGTATGCATATGCCTCCGAAGCTATTTGATTTGATTTTGACCTGTCATGTGGGCGACAGCAACATTTTAGTAGCCCATTTGTGGCCCTTATTCATTGTATAAAACTGCTTTGGATCTTAGAAACTTGCATTCATTGTGGCCTCTATAAAAGATGCATAAAAAGCCAAATTAAATGCATTCCTGTTACGTTTTGCTTTTGAGGCCTTTCATAGCTTTGTTTTTGGAGTATTAAAATATATAGCTAGAAGGTCTGATGGGAACTGAAAGCTTTAGTGTTTTTGTGGCATTTTTGCAGGTTTTGACCTGCCGAGAAGCACAGAGCAGCCAAACGAGTGGGAATCTGTGAACTTCTGAATTTCCAACGTTGGCGTAAAATAAAGATATGGTTTTGTGTTGGGAGGGGTTTCTACGCCTCGGTGGGCTGCCTGCAGCAGACAGGCTATGACACGCTGAACTAGCATTACTCGCATGTTTTATTAGTTGTAGCCTGTCTGGTTTTCCCCTCAGTTCAGTTCTTCCTCAGAACAAGACAAATGAAAAATTAAGTAAATAACGAAGGATGAAGTAATGACTGATCAGTACAGTTTTAAATAGTTTCATAATGAGATGTTGTTCTTCAAGAGCACTCAAACTGAAATTTCTTGTCATGGTTTTATGCTGGGCATTCTTAAAGGGATAGTTCACCCCAAAATGAACGTGGAACGCCATAGAAGATATATAAGGTTTCTTTTGACTTTCATTATATGGACAAAAAATACAATGGAAGTCAGTGGGAACCTTAGACTATAAAATATGACTTTGCTTTAACATTACATGCAATATTGTATTGTGAAATTACACTGTAAATCACGAATATTAAAGGTGTTTCTGTCCATGTCTGGTTTCCACAGCTCTGGAGGCTGAGAGAGTGCTTGCAGTGGTGGCTTTCCTCATGTCGGTGAGCTCTGGACTGCTGTGTCTCATGTTCGCCCTCTGCTGGACGTCTCAAACGGTGCGTTCCTACTCGAACACTCGCTCGCTGCTGATGGCAGGCCAGGCGATCGACCCGACCACACTACTGCTGCTCACACTATTACCTACAGGTCAGTACCTCGCTATTTAGCTTTCCTTAGCCATGTAGTATACACGTTTTAACCTTCTACATTTTCTTTTTCCCTACAGGATTTTTCTTTTTTCTCAGCTGGGCGCTTTTTACCCATCAACATATTGGTGAGATCAGGGAAGACGTCAGTCGACTCGGCCCGTCCTATTGGCTGGGAGTGGTGGGTTGGGCTTCGCTATTGGCCGTGCTGCCTGTGGTCTTCCTGGCGGAGAAGTTTGTGGTTCCTGACATCCTGCCGGAGTTAAAAAAGGCTGCCGAAATGTGGTGGAAGGCTCCGGAGGTTGCACACGCGCGATCGTTTAGTGAGGGTTTCCATCATTCACATCATAAGTCTCATCCTGATGTTAGGAGGTATTTGTCAGTGCCTTGAATGAGAGGAAGGAGGTAGCAAGGGAATACAGAAGAGAAGAGACTCTGGTCTCGCTGGTCAACTAGCCAAATATATGAGCTGAGCATATGTCTCACAACAGGGGTCAAAGACCTGGATGAGAAACCTGTAACTGCTTTCTGGGATGTGGGACACAAAGCTACAGGTTATAAGGTTGTGTGCTGGCTTTGACAGTGGTTTCACAGCTGTATTTGGACGAGGACACCCAAAAATGTGGTTAAAGGACTAACAGAGTTCACTATCTGTGTGAAACATAAAGCTGAAAGGATCTTTAAGTTGCAGACAGACCATTTCTCCATGACTTTTCATAGTCGTTGTCTGCAGTTGCCATTCTGTGAATTATACAGTGACTTTCAGGGAGGTCGACTTAAATGCTTTTCAAAATTGCTTTTAAATATGTTAAATTATTGACTATAAATGTAAATAATTTATGGCATAAATCTGTTGTGGTTTGTTAAACTGTGCCTTTAGCACAGTGAACTAAACATCAGTTATATATATATAAAAAAAAACACTAAAATAGTTTATATGTGATTGGTAAAACTATAATAAAGTTACTAATAATCACAATGGGAAGCACTTAAGTAATGCTGCCGTTGTTATGGTTACCTCGAATGCAATAATTAGCTCCATATTTAGCAAGAAATGAAAATATGCGTTTTGACTGAGTTTTAAAGTTATTGAAACTATTTTTTTTTAAACATACTTGTTCTCGTATGGAAAAACGATTAACTTCTAAGATTCACTTGTTCTTTCCCCTAATTCCCACTGCCATAGGTGCTGATCATTTAATTCCAGATTGTTCTGCTCGTTCTCAATTTTGCAGACAATACTGATTCAGATAGCCACAGAGCACTTTTGACCTGCTAACATTTAGCGTAATAGGGACTTTCAAGTGCTAATGCAGAATTCAACACTACTAGATGGTGCTACAGTTGTATTTTGTGTCTGTCTTTATGTGCAAACAGTGGTCTCTACTGGCGATAGTAGAGTTGTTTTGTCTATCATCTACATTTTTAAAGCTCTTTTAATTATACTTTTTGTACTGTTTTTAACCAATAAATGAAATGGTTTTCATATAAAGTTGAGTCAGTATCTATCTATCTATCTATCTATCTATCTATCTATACATCTGAGACCATATTGAAGGAATGTTTTTTGTTGTTTAGTATTATTTAGTATTTTTTATTGGTTTTTGTTTATTTTAGTACCATTATACAAATAAAAAATAAAATAAATGTATCATTCATTTTTAGTTTTTCATTTTAATTTTAGTTTAACTTTGAGTAATTTAGTTGTTTTCTCATTTCATTAAATATATAACTATATAATATATAATACATATCTGATTTTATATAAAATATGAAATTAATTTATTTATATTTATATTATATTATTTTTGACTTAAAGGGATAGTTCACCCAAAAATGAAAATTCTGTCATTAACTACTCACCTTCATGTCGTTCCAAACCTGTAAGACCTTTGTTCATCTTCAGTCTGACCCTCCCATAGACAGCAAGGGATCTACCACATTCAAGGCCAAGAAACATAGAACGGACATTGTTAAAATAGCCTCTCATGAATGGCGGCGGAGACCAGAAGAGAAGAAATTGTTGAATAAAGTAATTATTTTTGATTTCTTTGTGCACAAAAAGTATTCTCGTAGCTTTATAAAATTACGGTTGAACCACAGATGTCACATGGACTATTTTAACGATGTCCTGGGCCTTGAACGTGGTAATTCTGTTGCTGTCTATGGAGGGTCAGAAAGCTATCGGATTTCATCAAAAATACCTTAATTTGTGTTCTGAAGATCACAGAAGGTCTAGCGAGTTTGGAACGACATGAGGATGAGTAATTAATGACATAATTTTCATTTTTGGGAGAACTATTCATTTAAACTTATTTGCCATGACAACATTTAAAGGTTTTGGAGCAAAAACTACTAAATTAATATTAATTCTGTACTATGTCAAAGTCCTTTTAAGACAAGTCATGTCACTCGGCGGCCATCTTTGAAACGCCTCTCGGGCATGCAAGTGCAACTCCTATCTCACTGAATGGGGAAACATCAAATTCTCCAAAACTGTTCACTTACGATTAAATTTCATATTTGAAATCACCAAAGAAATCTGACAACAACTGTCATAAATGTTGTTACTTTTGCTCAAATAGTGTTATAAAAAGCCTATTTTTCAGGCTAGACCAGCCAGTGCGCATGCGCAGTCATAACTGCACGTCTCAGAATGCTGCCTGTTTCTATAGCAACCGGGACGGCAGCTGCAGCTGCAGTGTCCAGGGCTTCCTGCGATTGAGCGGCCATATTGAGCGTTGCATTTTTCCCCATTCAAAACTATACGAGTGACGCATCTTGGGTATTCTATAGTCTTTGACTATGTCTTGGTTTCTAAAGAAGTACGCACATTTGTAACATTTACCATGTTAATTAAAAAAAAATAAATAAATAAATAAAATAGACAAATGCACAATAGAAACCTTTTCACTAGTGGTTTCATGACTTTGGGAACTTTATTTATACAGGGAAATATCAGTAGCATTCTAAAACTGAGGTCAGGCGCTCTGTCATTATGTGTTTCATTATCATGGAGACAAAAAAATGAGACTGAGAGCTTTCTGAACCTGTAGTGTTCATACTCTCGTCCCACCCAAGATGAGATGAATGAACTGGCTGCGTTAATTGTGCATTAATCAGTTGCAGGTCTAATTAAAAGGCAGTTCTGTCCTTTTAGCATTAGTGCCTAATAGTTTGTTATTAAATCCAGAGAACTGTTTTATTTTTTTTTTATTTACTATCAGAAAAGCGCCTAATTGGCCCTCAGAACAGAACTTGAGTGTCTTTGAAGGTTGTGACGGCGGGGAGCTTGAGAGAACACCGGTTGACATCGCCGCCTCCCCCGAAGGAAGTATGAAAGCTGCTCTGTGCGAAAGGTGTGTGTGTCCTGGATGTAAGCGGCCACTTAAATGATCGTTTGAGGAGAATTTCAGTGCAGTGCGGCTCTCAGAGGAACTCTGCTGTCCACACAATGCTGACATGCAGGTGTGCCCTTTTTCTGCTGTGTACGCTTTTTAGTGTTATTTAAAGGGGTCATATGATGCTGCTAAAAAGAACAGTATTTTGTGTATTTGGTGTAATGAAATGTGTTTATGCGGTTTAAGGTTAAAAAAACACATTATTTTCCAAATACTGTACATTATTGTTTCTCCTCTATGCCCCGCCTTCTGAAACGCGTCGATTTTTACAAAGCTCATCGGTCTGAAAAAGCGAGGTGTGCTGTGATTGGCCA